GGTGGTTTAGTTATATTTAAGACTCCAAGAATTTTGCCTACACAAACTCTTGCAAAGTTTTAAGTTCTTTGAAACCTTGAATCATGTAAAGAGAACTTTTAATTTAGTGAGACAGTGTTTTGGCAAAAGGGTTTTACAGGAGTAACAACCAACGAAGGGGAAGCATTCCACAAAGGTACCCAGCAAACACCAACCCCATGCAACTTGCTGAAAAACAATCCACTGGTTTTAAGTCACCCACAAGAGATTAAGGAAGGAGGGAAGCATAAAGAAAGAAAGAAAGATAAAGGGAAGAGAAAGAAGTAGAGAAAGAGGTTGGAATGAATAAGGTTGGTATAGCTACGTGCAGCTCTGTCTGGAATAGCCCTGCTCGCTGTGAATGCCATTTCTCCAAGGTGCAACTGGAAGACTGCAGCATTTACTGCAAGAGGCCTCTGCAACAGCTCAAATGAGCAGGGATTAGCACCTACAGAACTGCTGGGAAGAACATCCAGAAGAGAAGTAAATGCCAATTTTACATTTTGCTGGCTGGAGCCCCAGCGTGGTACAAGCTGCTCCACCTCAGCACGGGATACTTGAGGAATTTTTGGTGCCAGCACAGGAAGGGGTATCCTCATCTCCCCACAGTGAGTTTGGGAGCTGGGCTGCACCATCCCAACACAGGGAGGTCAGAGGGCACCTCCTCCCCGTGTTCCAGGCCGTGGAGCTGCATCTATTCCATCTTCCAGGCACAGTTAGATGTGGGAAATGGCCTGTCAGCCTCCCAGGCACACCAAGGGCTTCTCTCTCCATTGGTCAGGGCATTTGCTTTCTCATCACCAACAACTCCCAAACGTTTCCCCCTGGTGTGTTACCTGCAAAAGATCCCTTGGTGTTTGTCAGTCCTGTACCTCTGGTTTACATGGTCTACTTGAACTCCAAAAATGGCAGTGCTCCACCTCAAGTGTCCTGCTGTGAGGATTATCAGGGTTTTTTTCCCCATACTGAAAGTATTCCACATACATTTTTCTCCTGGCTATCAGTGCTGGGGAGAACCTATCCCCTTCTATGGTGCATCTAGTGGCAACCAGTGATTCTGTCATCAGAGTGAGCCAAAAACCCTCTCTGGAGAGTAGCCCAGTGGAGTCTGTGCTGCTGTAAGGCACGTCATTTACAGAGAGAAAGGCATCTCCCACCTCCCATTCTCTCCAGGCATTTATGTCTCCATTTTGGATGTATTTTCCTTAAATTGGATCAACTGGTGCTACTGTTTCATAACTACTTTCTAGAAATGGTGGCACAGAGGAGAGTTTAGTACTCTGCACATTGGACTATTATTCCTAAATGAAATTCGATTTGAGACCTTCTCCCCCCAAAAAAGGAGAGCATTCCTCACTTGTTCCACTGGGAACACTTCATTAAACTCCGACTCCTTCAGATGGCCCTTCCCACAGTCTGTTTCTCTTCAGGAACTCAGCGTTTCACTCTGAGATTTGGTTTAATGCTTTACTTACAGACTCTTCCCAGTGAACCAAACTTCATGAACCCTACACAGAACTAATTTCCACTCCCTTCTCACACATTCTGTGTTGACCCACCTGACCCTGGATCACCTGGATCACCTGGAAGCACCAGGTATCTCACCTGAGGCCAATTCTTTACCTGGAGAGAACTCAGGGTAACTGTCCCATCGTGCTGATCTCAGCCTGGGAGATCAGAAGCCCTTTTTGCTGCAGGAGCTCCCCAACCCCACACCACCAGTTCAGCCCTGCCATCCCACCACTGCACCATCCCACGCTCCAAGCAATTAAAAATCCTGCTGTGAATTTATGCAGTTAACACAATTCTTGGCTACCACACAGAAGACTCCCTGATGTACAAAGGCTCTCCTCCCACCCCTCCCATCACAGCATGAAGGGCACCACACTGGCATCCTCTTCCTCTCCAACCCCAGCTAAAAAAAGAAAATGCACAGCAGATGTTGGAATTTTTAACCCCACCATGACGGGAGCCTCAGCTCATGGGAAGTCAATGCCACTGTCTGCCCTGAAAAAGCCCCCTGGACCAAACAAGCCTCTGCACTGGGGTACAAGTGGAAAATTCCATCTTTCCCACAGTGCCAGCAGGGATGAGGGGATGGGGCAGGCTCAGCACAAGGACTGACACTGAGCTGGCTCCTCCAGCTGCAGATGCCAGGGGACATCAGGCAGGACCCTCGAAGAGGGAAGCTCATTGAAAGGGCTCCAAAGCCCTGGAACAGTCCCAGACACTGACTGCTCTTTGGAGAGAACATGCAAGAGAAAGAATTGTGCCTTAGAAGACAAAAGGCTCAAGTTTGTGACTTCAGTTTCACATCATTGAAACTGGATATAATTAAATCCTGCTTTTCAAGAGATGTTCAATTCCAAAATGAACGTCTCTGGGATGCAGAGAACACTGAAAGTGTGAATACACTTTTTATTTAACCTCAAAATCTATTTTTACTCCAGAATCCTAATGCTCCACGGCTGGAACTTTCTCTTCCTGCCGGCATGGCTGGGACCAATGGAAAGATGAAGAAAATAAAGGCAAATGAATGGGAATAACAGCTCCCCAGGTGTGAGGCAGGTCTGCAGAGGGACAGTCTGTCTGCAGGGAGCTGCCTCCTGGAGCAGCTCCTCCTGAGGGAACAGGAGGAGCAGGGCACAGCCCAGCTTCTCCCTCAGTCTCTGCCACGACAGAGGCCCCATGACCAGGACCTTTGCAGGGCAGGCCCTGATGCCCTGTTGTTAAAGCATTATTGTAGCATGGCCCTTATTCCAGCTTTAACCTCAAGGGATGATCCAAACTATGAAATATGTCTGAAATCTGCTTCTGTCCTGAATCACCAGAGCGAACAGAAAGACAAAGAAATAAAGGTGAATGCAGGTCTGTTTGTGGTAACTTGGAGGTAAGGTGAGAATTTTGGCCCATTGGGGGTGCCAGCTCCCTCTCCCATGATAGAGGTGCCTTGCTCTGGTCCTGCAGTGGGAGGAGAAGGAGCAAGGCCCCAGCTGAACAATCCAGTGCCTTTTCCCCATGCCAGGCTCACAGAGCAATGCTGGCATGGACTGCATTCCATGCACTGATCCACACACGTGTATTTTTTACATACAAAGACATGGTAAAATATCTCCTCCCTGGTGCAGAAAGGGAACAGTTTAAAATCTTAGGCAAAAACATCACTCTGACCCATCAGCTGCTGTTTCAACTCTATGTGATGCACATTCCAGTCAAAAGAAAACCCGATGTTTCTTTCTGTAATAGGCCCATTCCAATTTCCAGCAAACACACAGAACATTTCTTCTTGCTTCCAATGGCTCATTAGACCTTGCTCAGTCTCTGGGATCACTGGATCTCCCAAGGAATACAACAGCAGAGTGCAGAGAGGTCAGATTTCACAGAGGCAGGAGTAAGTAACCTGCAAAGCCAAGCAGAACACACATTGTTCAGGCAGGTCACAGCAAGGCCATTTCCATCTTGGGGAACACACCAATAATCTGACTTTTTACACATGTACAATCAGATGCCCCAAGCCTGCTGTAATTCTTTATTAGCTTTGCAGCTGTTGTCTTCCTCATGAGTTTATCAGCTTGCACAGCTCTTGGGTAGCTGTTCTTAATTCACCTCAGCCAGGCTAAGGGTGGGGTGGCCACAAAGAAGCAAAGGGAATAAACAAAAGCTACACAAGGAGAAGGAAAAAATATTTTTTTTTTAAAAAAAAGGCTGTTCAAGAGGGAATTCAGGAAAGTTATTGCTGTTTTAAGAAATTATAAGTGGCCACAAAGGTACAGCCCAGGCCTGAACTCTATCCACTGAGACCTCTTTTGCACATGGATACACTCACTCGTTCTGTGTCCAGGTTACTCACCCAAATAAAGGGGGAGCAGCATTCCTGGAGATGAGGACTGGGCCTTTTAGGACCTAGACCAGTTGAAGGAGACCAAAATTCCAGTCCAAAGCCACTGCAACCCGATGAAAGCACATCCTTGCTGGTGAGTGGGGCTGTGCAGGTGTGTCTGCTCAGGTCCAAGCACGAGCACTGCCCCACCAGATAAAGCAAAAGCCACAGTGCAGCTGCTGCTAAAGCTGACAGGGTGAACACTGTGGGCTGGGAAGAGCTAAAAAAAACATTCCTCTGGTTATTTGGGAAGCAGAAAATGTGAAATTACCTACTGTAATCTTTTCCTTTGCTTTGACCAGTTGCTCTAAGCAACTCTTCCCAAACTTTTTGAACAGCTACTGGGCACAGTGCTGATGGAGATGCCTTTTTTTCCTTACATAGCATTTTCCTCATAATAGTATGCAAAGCCTTCCCTAAAACTTTCTTCATCAATTACCTGTCTAGAAAATGAAGAGTTGGTGTTACAAACTGCCAGACTCTTAATATGATTGACTGTGGCTGGTTTTAGTCAGCAAAAGGTCTCCAAGTAACAAATGACTTGTCCATTTGTTCTCTAACAAGAAGGGCTGTCAAGGCCTGAATATCATTTATGCTCAATCAAACCCTAATGCTGATGGAAAACTCTGGCTTTTGGTGACTCTTGATGTGCCCCACTGGGGCTTGGAGAAATGTATCCCCACTTAACATGTCCATGGATAATGGATCTGAGAGCCTTCAGCTCATGGCTCCTTTGGGCCAGGCCTGGAGCTGTAAGATATGAATTAACTGAGATGACAAATTGCATAAACATGTGTTTCACAGTTGGCACTTCCCTGCTAAATGCTTATGAAACTGTGAACTATGGAAAACAAAAGATGGATGGAAGAAGATCTCTTTTTACAAAATTATTTTTATAGACAAAAAAACCTAAAATAAAACCCTAAAATAAAACCCTAAAATAAAACCCTAAGCTTGATGTGTGCAAGCCCACAGATATCCCTTATTTTACAGCTGGGGAACAGCAGGAACTTTTCCCTGCTAATGAGACTTTATGATCTCAGATACAGAAAGATTTGCACTTTATTATCAATAAGAAAGTCCAAATTCAAGAAGTGACTTGAAATGCTAGAGACTGGCCTGGGGATATAGTGAATACAGAACATTTCCTCTCACCATACAGGTGGTGTTTACACGAGTTTTAGATGCAGTTCAAACAAATCTTTTACAATATAATAAAATCATTGACTAAGGCAGAAAAATCCATAAGAGTTGATTTCTCCATTTTTTTTTTTTTTGGTGTACACACTGGTCAAAATAAAATTGACTATAGAAAAGGACAGATTATTATTTTGCCAAGAATGGGTCAGATTATCCTTGAGGTCCCCTCCAACCTGGGATTGTAGGATTATTAAACTGCAGTGTAGCTGACATCAGTCTATTGTAACTATGCTCTCCTTTAAAACATTTTGCAGAATAATTAGAGCTGGAACAAAGGGAGCTCAGAAAATTGCAACACTAGAGTTTTTTTGTTTTTTTGGAAGGAAAAAAAAAGAAAGAAAAGAGCTGCAAGGAAGTTCTGATATTCCTTCTAAATTCTAACAAATACTTTGATTATACTACACTTTGCCAGATCTGGCCTCCAACTTTGGATTTCATCCAGTTTCCTGAAGAAAGAGAGGAAATCCAGCACAAAACTTTGGTTGTGCTCTTTTCTAAATGGCAAAATACAACCCACCAATTTCACTGGCATTTCCATCTGTGTCATTCAGCAACACGACTGAAGGAATTTTCCCGAAGCAGAGAAGCAACTGCCCTTTCTGTCTGTTTAAAATTGCCTCAGTGCCACACCCAAGCTTTACAATAAGGAGCAGTAAAGATTATTTCATTATTTCCATTTGGATATTCCTTTAAGAATTCCAAAGCAGTGAATCTGCAGTTGTATATAACAGAATGAGGAACAGAGGAGCCTCAGCACCTATAAAGAAAACTACTAAAAATGGCAATGTGAGCTTTTACCCCAAAGTGTAACATTCTGTGAAGGCCTCAGCGTTGCAAATATTTAGCATGTGAGTAGTTCCTACTAAAGCAAGATTCATCCATCTTTTTCACTGGTGGAGTTTTCTTTTATTTATATATATTTTAAGGCAACATATTATGAAAGTTGGAAGGAGAAGAATAATCCCAGGAGGTGGGTTGACCATCAGTGTCCACGTACGGCCCCAACACAGCATCTCAACCCCAGGGAAGGCACTGGCTGAGCCAAGCCACGACTTTGTGTCAGCAAGAGAAAGCCCTCAAAGCTTTTTTCCCAACACTCCCACATGAACATCTTCCCTCTCTAGTGCAATACCCTGCAGAGGCGACTACACCTAAAAACAATGGCTAGGAAAAGGTTCCAGCATTCAGCACAAGGCACGTGCTGCCTTCCAACCCTTCCTTCGTTGGTTGGCAAATGATGATGCACAGAACTGCATAAGGAAACAAAACATCAAAAGATAAAAATTAACTTAATTTACACAACCAATAAAAAAGTTTAAAGCAATGATAGAAAAATAATATAAAGGCTAGATACATTAAATGCCAGTTCAACAGTATTAAGCTTTGGTAGAACAGGTAAAGAGCATAGCACCAATCAAATCCCACGTCAGCACAGGCCTCAGTACGCATGAGCCGTGATGAAGATGTAAATTTTGGCAAGAAAAGTGGTGTATGTTCCCTGGCGCCACAGTTTCATCTCCACATCCAACAGGAAGTCTTTGGGCTCCTTGACTTGGCGCTGCAGGTACACGATGCCGGTGTAGGAGTTGAGCCTGCGGGTGCTGAAGTAGCTCTCCTCGTTGCCCTGGGTGATGGTGAGGATGATGTTGTCCCCGGCGTAGGCAGGGGAGGGGCCGATCCGGAAAATGTGGGCTGGGACCACGATGTTGGTCTGGAAGTTGAGCTGGTAGTAGGTGATTCTCACCGGGGTGTTCTGGCAGTCCAGGTAGTTAAAGCAGCTGATGCGTTCACACCTCCTGAGGAATGACACAGGGAGAGCCTTCAGTGACCAGGGGACAGCAGGGAAAATGCATTTACCTCAGAGTGTTGCAAAATATCACTAAACCAGTCCCAGATTTCAGAGTGTTATTAACAGGGATAGTACCCAGGGAATGGTCAGGGCAGGCTCAGGATGGATCTCGGGAAAAGGTTCTTCCCCCAGAGGCTGGTTGGGCACTGCCCAGGCTCCCCAGGGCAGTGGGCACAGCCCCAAGGCTGCCAGAGCTCCAGGAGGGTTTGGCTGATCCTCTGGGGCACAGGGGGTGACTGTTGGGGATGGGCCTGTGCAGGGCCAGGGGCTGGACTGGATGATCCTTGTGGGTCCCTTCCAACTCAGCATATCCTGTGATTATCCTTGTTCTGCTTTTCCAGTGCCCATAAAGCATTTTAAATTATGTAACTGTACTGTAGTGTCAGGAAAAGATCATGGATATGGGGAGTGGCATTGGGAAGCTCCACAGCAAAGAAAGAGCCAGTCATGCTGCAAAGCATGAGCTTCGAAGAGGAGTCAGTGGTTCCTCACTGACAGCACAGGGCTGGGACAATGCTCCAAGAAAATAAGACTAAAAACCCTTGAAAAGGTAGCTGAAACATGGGGCTGGGAAAGAAGCTCCTCAACTGGTAAAGCAGCTCAATTCTCTAAGGCAGGAAAAGTATTTTTTTAAGTCATAAGCAACTAAATATGGGTTCCCAAAGCACTGGCAGATACTAAGGCAGGAAAAGGGAAGGGACATTTTGGGGCTCCCGTGCTCCTCAGCAGCTGGGGGTGTGCCCTTCCCAGAACCCTGTGGCCTGGCAAGCTCAGTATCCTGCTTCCCTCCAATGTTTCAGCAGCCCCTGAGGAGCTGCAATCTGAAGATTAACCAGGGAGCCCCAAACCCACTGTAAAAGTGGAGCTCTGAGCAGCCTGGCTGCTGTGAGAGAAGCAGCATAGAAGATCTTACTTTTTTAAAACTAAATTATAACCAGAGCCCTTTCAGAGCTGCAGCAAGGAGAGCTCCAGGATCTGGTGCCTGCTGTTCCAGCAGCAGTTGGGGAGCAAACAGGGGCTCCAGGGCTTGGAAGAAGGAAGAATAACCAGACACAAACTACATGGGGAATGTTTATGTGCTCCAGGTACCAAAGCAGTTTCTCAGAGCTCTGAGTACCTACACCCACCCACAAACTAAGCACTACAGGACTGGCCTGGCTGCTGGTGTTGTTCCAAAGGCCACACTCACATGTCAGACACTTTTCTGTAGTTGGAAGGGCACTCGAAGGACAGGCAGCGGAAGCTGCCCTGGATGTTGTAGCAGGTCTCTGCAGTTGAGCAGTTATGGGTTCCTATTGCACACTCATCAATATCTAAGAAGAAACACAAGAAAAAGGCATTCTAAGTTCAAAAGTGAGAATTAATCACAGTTGATGGGCTGTAATTTGCTTATGAGACTGTGTGCCTGAGGATTCTGTGGGTTTGGCTCTACAAGCCGAGGGCTCTCGTCCTCACCCCCCAGTCACTGTGTCTCACCTCCACAGTACCTGTGCCCCAGACCAGGGCTCTGGGAACCCCCCAGGGCACACCCGGGGTGGGAAATGTACACCCAGGTGAGGTGTGTCAGGTCCATCTCTGTGCACAGACACTCACTGGCATTTGCAGTGACAGAATAAACCACGGTGATGTAAATTCTGACAAAATTCTTCAATGTCTAAAATGTCTTCTATGAAAAAAACCTCCTTCCTTGACAATACCAGGCAATAAGAGATGACAGACCCACCTGGCAGCGTGTGCAGTAAACAAGGGAGCCCACTCTTCCCTACAAGCAGCTTGTGACACTTTCCATGGTGTTTGACAGTCTCTCTGCTTGGCAGAGAGAGTCCACCCAGCACATGGCCAGGCTGGCCTTCTGCTGCAGGGGAACTGTGTTTCTTTACCTGTACTTTAGAACCACTGGCACACTCCTGTAACCTACCTGTTCTCATCCACACGCAGTTGACCAACACAGGGTTTTACTTTCCGTGGAGAATAAACATGGGAAGGGAAAAAAGTTCTCAAACCCAGAGATCCCACTTCCCACTGCAAGAAAGACCAAGCATGAACATCTAGACAGATTTGCTTGTGTAGCCATGTTGTCCCTGCTCCTGAGGTGTCAGAGATGTGCTGTAACTAATATTAAAGCCAGGTTGGAGGCAAACAGAATTAAGTGAGTAGGGAGCAGTAGTCTAAGGCAGCGGAACCCTGGAAGTCCCAGACCAGCCCACAGCTGTATAAGCTTCTCCCAGCTGTTCTGATGGATGAGAGCTTTTAGTTTCCTGAAAGTCATGGGCCAATTTTTACAGCTCCACAGGTCACTGGGACTCCCTGAACCAGCCCAGTTTCACCCTTAGAGCTTGCCTGGTCCTGTGAGGGGTCTCCAAGCAAACGAGGGGCTCCTGCTCCGTTCAGCAGGTGAGGGCAGTGCAGTGTGCCAGCTCCAGGGCTGGGGAAGCAGCCAACTGCTTTCCAACAGCAGGGCCACAGACTTGGGCATGGTGTGGGCACTGTGGGCAAGCCCTGGAGCACGAGGGACAGTCCTTGAGGAAAGGAGGCCATGTCTATAAATCCCTCACTCACTGCAGAACCTGTGAGAGAGCGATGGCTCCTTCCCATGGATGAGGCTGCACAGGGTCCACGAGGAAACAAACACCCCACCACCCAGCTGAGAGGGGCCTCCCCCTCCTCAGAGCAAACACACTCTGGTGTGCATGGATACCCTCTGTCTGACTCCACATTAACCATTCACAGCTATCCCTCAGGAATAAACAGATCCTGTCAGGATAGAACCAACCCATGCTAAGGCCAACAGGACCTTCTCACTGACTTTTTGAGAAGGGATAAACTTGGGCTGTGTCAGAAGAATTATCTGTGCATGAAGGTTGCTCTGGATTAAAGCAGAGCAACAAAATTAAACCTGGATTTAAAGCAAGCAAATCTAAAGCAAAGTTCTCACTGCACAATCCAGGAGATGAGAGCTCTCCCAGGGCACTGTGAAACATGGGAACTCAGGAACAACACTTCAGAACAAGGCACACAGTTTTGAACATTTAAGATATATACATAAATATCTCCCCACAATGAGGTGTAATTACAGAAGGCAGTAAAGAACATTTAAAGCTCAGAGACACTTTATGCCCCAGAGCATAAACGTGGTTACCCAAATAACACATATCCACAAGCCCAAGCCATGAGCCTTAAAATGCTGAAAAACAGATGCAGTATCAAGGATCCAGCTTGAGCAGCAAACATTGGCAAAGATCATCTCCCAGTCACATTGTGTACTCCCAAAAGTCTAGACAATGCACGGAGGCTTTAAAATGAAATAAATGCTAACAGACAAGGCATGTGGACTGTGCAGGGCCCTGCAGCTCTGCCAATTGTCACAGAAGAGACAGACTCCTAGAGGGAAACTATAACCTCCCACTCCCTCCATTCCCCTGGGATGAGAACTGATCTCATACACTGAACTGGTTGGTTTAAAACTCTTGCAAGGAAAAGTATACAATAGGAAGTAGGAGAGAATCAAAGCAAAGTAAATCCCTTGCTGATTCGGAGCAGTGCCCCTAAGGTGAAAAGAAAATTTCTTCCACATTGCAATCGTTGTCATGAAAGCACTCCCTCCCTGCACCACTTTGGCTGCACTGCAAAATACCACAGGCAGTTCCTCCAAAAAAGATCCATATGTTGAGACAGTGTTCCATGAGATACAGCTCGTCTGTTTGAAACTAAAGGTACAAAGAATGTGCCACCAGTAACTCCGAAGAACTGGTCAGACGATGAGTAACTGGAGCCAGACCTTTAGCTGGTGGAAACCAAGACTATCTCCTTGAGCTTAGCACAGCCAACATCAATTCAGTGTTTCTCTGACCATGTTTTCAGAAAGAGCTCAGTATCTAAGCCTGCCCCAACTTGTAATACAGACTTGCAGAGCTCAAAAACAGGGAATGTGTCTGGGGGGCTCCTTCCAGTGCCTGACTAAACTGCAGCTCCAGAGCTGCTGAGTTTTGCACGTAGAACAACTTCGCACCTCCAAGGAGGTGCCCGGACCAGGTGCCAGAGATACTTGGAAATGTCCTTCCAAGGGTTTCTGTTTGGGCAAGTTGTGCACTGGGAAGCCTCTCCACACAGGTGAGGGTCATGCAGGGAGGGTTCCACCACACAGACAACACAAGTGCAGTCCACGGGTCTGGGTGGATGTCCCTGTCCTCTGCCTCCAGCACACTGGGTGCCTGTGGGAGAGCTGTGCTGGCTCAGGAACACAGTGACTCACACTATTAACTCTGGAATACATTCTCAGCCCAAATCTCACTGCTGGCAGAGGTGGCAACTAACATGCCAGCACTCAAAGTTAGGAGGAAAATACAAACAAAGCCTGTGGAGAGTTACAGCTGCAGTTTTCTAAAGGTGAATTTTTACATAAGAATTTAAATGCACATGGATACCACTGCATTTATACTTAAAAACACATTCTAAAAAATATTTTAAACTTTTTTTAAAGGATTTTAATTGTCACTTAATCTACTTCCCTGCTCCGAAGTCAGGATAAAGTACACACATGCTGCTCATGATTTACACAATGCAAATTCGTTGCCATTACCACCAAGAATTCAAGCCTAGGAGATACATAACCAAAAGTTATATGAAGGGTTCCTGAAAAACTAAGGGCAGGAAATGCCTGGTAGTTAATGTAACCACTGCAGGAATGTGTGCAGTGTGTGCAAAGGTAATCAGATCTTCCATCATCATTACACAGGCAGGGCATCCTTTGGAAATGGGAGTTCAGCTCAGAACCAGACAGCTGTGCACCAGATGAAAACCACCACACTCCCAGCAGGCATTTCTATGGTTCTGGAGAAAAGGGGGGGTGTGAGGGGAGGGTACTTGTCATTGCACTAACATTTCCTCATACCAACATAATTAAGGTGACAAACTGCTGGATGGCCAAGTTCCCATTACAGCTCCAACATTTAATCTGGGGCAGAAAACTGCAACTCATAATGAAGGCACAGATTTTTACACCTGGCCCCTCTAAAAGCCCAGATCATTCAGTGCTGTGCCAAGGTGCACACACAGCTCACACGAGTAATCCAGCGCTCCAGTGGAAGGATGACATGGGCTCCCTTGGGAATTCATTTAAGCAATTCCCTCACATTGACAGCCCAGTTGCCACAGCACTTTCTTGTAACACAGGAGAGAGTTGTCTTTGCAAATACCAATATTTGGCAACTTTGTCAAATACTGGCTTGTTAACAGCGACTAAAACATGGAGGCTTGACTGAATAACCATAATGGCTCGTTCCAAGGATTAAAGCCTCATGATATATAATCTTGCAGTCCCCTCCTTACCTCGACAGGTCCTTCCATTGGCTGCCATGGTGTATCCCTGCTCAGGACAAGCACACTGGTAGCTGCCAGGAACATTCACGCAGCGGAAGGTGCAGAGGATACCTGCACTCTGTGTGCACTCATCAATGTCTGGGGAGAAAACACAGGTACCAACGTGGGAAACCAAGCAAAACAGAAACCTGGGAAGGGCAGCTGTAGAACAAGGAAATTCTCTTCTGACACATTCATAATATATTGCTAAACATGAATGCGACCATGGGAGTGTCATGTTGCTGGAGGACTGCTGATGGTGCTTTCTGGAATGCTGGACACAAGACTGCTCCCAGAAATACTGGCTGCAAGTGGTATGGACTCCTGGAAAAGAATAATGAGTCTAGGACACATCCAAGTTTGAAAGAGTCTCTCTGGTACCTGTGTAATTCACAGATTCATAGAATCCCAGAATGGTTTGGGTTGGAAGGGCCTTGAAATCTCATCCAGTGCCATGCCCTGCCATGGGCAGGGACACCTTCCACTAGCCCAGGTTGCTCCAAGCCCTGTCCAACCTGGCCTTGGACACTTCCAGGGATGGGGCAGCCACAGCTTCTCTGGGCAACCTGTGCCAATGCCCACAGCAAAGAATTCTTCCAGAATTTCTTGGGGAGCTTCCTTGTGCCAGGAAGAGAGTGGGCTTCTTCACCAATTCTTAAATAGAGACTCTCCAATGTGTCAGTGTCAGTAACTCCAATTAAACAGGAAAACCCCCTCCCTCCTCCATTCTGACCACTCTACTCCTCATTCACCCACCACAAGCAGCATTAAGAGCAAACCTTCACTCAGCCATGGCTGAGTGGAGGCTTTCATCGATGCAACACAGGTAAACACATCTTCCCACCTAATTTTTCCAATCATAAGCTCTGGCCTCCTGAAACTAGTCTGATAACCCCCCTGTTCCATGGTCACCCAGGTGTGTTCCATCCAGTGCACTGTCCAATAGCTGGAGTTCCCTTTAGCAGCTTCAGGGGCAGCTGGAACCCACCATACCCCCAGGCAGCACCTGCAGCATTAAGTGCTGCAGAGAGTCAGCTCCAGGGAATAAACACATTTACCTTGAGCTGATGGAGCAGCAGCCTTACCTTTACAGGAATGCCCATCTTCTGCCAGCTGGAAACCTTGCCTGCAGTAGCACTGGTAGGAGCCATAAACGTTGGCACACTCCTGGCTGCAGGGACTGTTATCACATTCATTCACATCTGCAGCCAAAAACAAACCCACACACATGGCCACAGGGGCTCACAACAGTGTCTCGCACCTTTTCCTGCCCCTAAAAACACCCCCCTTCTGGTCAGAGTGACTAAGGATGGACTGATTTGTCCCAGTTTGTCTCAGCTCCAAGAAGCCTGAGGCTGCCTGTTGCACCTGAATTTAATTTCTACATATGCCAATATATAAAACACACACATATGCAGACATTATGGGTTACAGTCAATCAAAAATATGTAACCATTGCCTTACAAAAATCATGGAGAACTCAACAAATTTCCATTCAATTCAAAATCATTTTTTTAAAGTTTGATTACTACCAAGTTTCATCTTTATCAAAATTTGAATTAAGAGTCTCCTATTCTGTGTTTGTTCTGTTCTTCTTTTCTCTCATCTGAAAGGAAAGCAGAAGTTTGTGAGGGAAAGGAAGAAGGGAGAAACTTGTCGACGCTCATCTGACAGTTTGAGTGTTGAGTGTTTGACTGAATATCTGCAACTCTGAGCACACATAAGGTTTACTGTATTTATATTTCACCTCAACTCCTTCTCTAAAGTCCCTGAATTCCCTCTGCAGTTTCTTCTTCACGGAAAAAAGATGTCTGGTACCTTCACAGTGTTTGCCATCGTAGGACAAGCGGAACCCAGAGGAGCAAGTGCAGTGGTAGGAGCCAGGGGTGTTCTCACACGTGTGCTGGCACAGGCGCCCGGGGTAGTTCCAGCACTCATTTATATCTGCCAGCACAACAAGCAAATACACAATCAGCTGAGGAACACAAGCATCAATATACAATCAACTGAGCAACACAAGCATCAAACAAGATGCAGGAGGATATTTTTAAAAGTGTCAGAGATTGATTTGCAGCATGTGAAGTGCTGCAAGCTCAGGGGTGAGGCTGACTCTGTGCCCTAATTGGGGTACAGTGGGGATAAAATACAAAGGGCTATCTCGTGGTTCTTAGTAAGAAAGTGGTGAAATCTTCAGACAGACAAATTTCTACAGCAGCTGAAGCACAGCCCTCAGGGAATACTTTGCAGATGACTTTAACTGATGACCTGCAGTTAAACCAAGCCAAGGGCACCTGGTCAGAAATCCCAGCACGGAGGGACAGAGCTCTAAGCTGTAGGACATCAGCTTTGGAGGTGATTCCATCATCTTCTGAGGCACTGCATTGCAGAACTAATGCCTGCACACTGCAACTGCTAAACAGTGCCTAGAGGGCCGAGGCTCCATCAATCAGTGCTCCCACCTCCCCCGTGCCTCACATACCGATGCAGCTCCTGCTGAAGGCGTCGTACTGAAAGCCCATCCTGCAGTCACAGCGATAAGCCCCGGGGAGGTTGTGGCAGATCTGCCCCTCCCCACAGCGGTGCACACCAGTCTGACACTCATCCACATCTGCAGAAACAGACAGAGCAATTTGCTTAAAGGTAGTTTGCTTAAAATCAATGTTTATGAAGAGAGAGGGGAAAAAAATTAATAAATAACAGGAATAGAAACTGTTATGGCTGTCCCCTGGACAGAAGAACTACCATCAGCTTTTCCCACCCTGCTCTTCTCCAAGTCAGCTCTGTGTGTCTGTAAGTCAAACCTCTGAAAAGCAGAACATTATCTTCACAGTGAAACCATCCTGGAACTGCAATGGGACTCCCCCAGTATATTCTGCATTTCAATGTAAACACTTTTTGATGCTGATCAGACCCTGACATTTAAACACCCCCTGTGATGTTCTGTCTCTCAGTGACTCACACAAGCCATTTAAAGCAAAACAAGAACCAGCCAGAAACTCTGCTCATCCCTTCAATTAAAGCAATTGCTATTTTCATCTCCAGTTGCCCTTTCAGTCTCGCTCCTGCTGTCTAACTTTTGCTCTTTCCCAATGTTGATCTTTTTTTCCTTCTCTCAATCAGCTCCCATTTAGATATTCCTCATGGCCTCTCATCCAAAATCCAATACCAACAAATTAGTTGCTTCTCCACTCACATGCATCACTTCCAATCTCATTTAAACATCCTCAGATGAAGATGAGAGTTTTCAATACACACTGATTTACAAGACTTGCAACATGACTAAATAGCTCATCAGTCTCTAACAAATCCCTCTTGCCATCTGTGACAAGAAGCATCAAAAAGTCTGATTAACCCTCAGAATTGTTTGTTTCTTCACATATTCAGAGTACTGCCATTTCCTAAACCCTCAGATCCTGCTTTCTTTCCGTTATTCACATCTTCTACTACTTTTACAACCCAAATCCCTGTTCATGTAATAATAATCAGAATGGAAGTCTAAGGCTGGAGGTTCTCCATGGTGCTCTATTTGAAGTCATAAATTTGAGCACTGAATCCTTTCCAAGGGTTCCTGGGCAGTTCTCCATCCAACAGCAGCTTGGTGAGTGCTCTGGGAAGCAGACCCTTGCTGAGGGAATGATGGGGAAGTGAGAGCAGAAACTTGGATTTGGAGAAGTGGAGATCACATCAACACTGATGAGGGGCACTGACAAATACTCTGTTCAACATTTCAGCAGATTCCCACCTACACAGTCCCTGCTGGCCCCAGGGTCAGGAATGGCAGGGAATGCCAACCCTGACAGGCTTCAAGATTTCTGCTGAAACACTGACCCCTCATTTTCTTGTAAGATCAGAAGTAGCACCAAAGCAAGGAAGTCTCTAATGCAGATACAAATTTGTAAAGCAACAGCTTTATTTTTAATGAATTCATGTGTGCAACCACTTCATTAGTTTGTCCAAAATTACATATTCCATTGCATTTACACTTTAATTAGTTCTAGGGCATTACCCCATCAGAGCTGTGCCATATTTCACAATACTTACAGCAGTTTTCAGTTAAACCCAGGAAGTAGTTTTTAATAACTCATTTACTAAATCAGTAAATCTGAACATTTTAAAGACAGATGAATCCTCTAAACAGAGGAGATGACCCTACAAGTGTCGTTCTGCTGGAGAAACATGTGCAGATGATGTTTTTACTACTGTGAATAAATCTGAATCAGGAATCTAATTAGCTATTGTAGTGCCTCAAAGAAACTAGTCTTTATCACAGAGAGGGGAAATTAGGACCATATGCTTTTCCTTTTTCTTCTCTGTGCTCTCTGCCTACTTAAAAAAAGCCATTCTAAAAAAATACCAAAAGCTATAGAGCAGCAAGAGGGACAGAGTGTACACAGCAAAGTCAGAGAAATCATCAATTAACATTAAATATGTTTTGCCAAAATCAAGCTAGAGAAGCTTTCTTATACCTGCTCCTTAACAACCTTGTCAGCCATTTAAAGCAGAGACAGAGGGCCGTCAGTAATCACATTGCATTGTGTTATCTCCTCTTGCTTTAGAGACAGAGATGCTGTCTGAATAATGGCAATTTCCTCCTCTGTCACATATTGGCACATAATCACTCCTTTTTAGGAACAACTGGGGTGAAAAGCTGGATTCTTTCTCTACCATCAATTTGAAATTTAGGAACGTGATTTGCCCAGTCATTATAGAATCACAGAATTGTTAAGGATGGAAAAGACTTCTAAGATCACCAAGTCCAACTGTCAACCCAGTACTACCCCCATGGTCACCACTAAGCCATGTATGTCCCCAAGTGCCACATCCACATGTTTTCTGAACACTTGCAGGGGTGGTGATTCCTGCACCCTGGGCAGTCTGCAGGGCAGGGCAAAGGGCTGCAGCCAGGACTTCTGTGCTGCTCAGGGATGACAAGGCAGTGAAAACAATGGAGACACTGGCATGGTGATCCCCTAAAAACAACATCAGGATCACCACTCCAGGAGGTGTACCTGGCCCAGCAGACTTGGCTTAAAAAGGACTGATGGAAAGCAGTCGAAGAATTGTCTTCACAGCAACTGAGAGCGACAGGACCTTTGGACCTACTGAGATACTTCAGGCTGCTCTATAGCAGGACAGCAAATAAGACTGCACTACCCCCAAATTTATGAAACACAACCCCAGAGCTGTATTAGGAAGGTTTCTCAATTTACTCAGATACACACAAGAACTGTCCCTGTCTTCTGTCCCTTCCAAACCTTTCCCACCTTCTCACTGGCTGAGCATGGTCTGGATAGTCCTGGGGGCAAAACCATGAGGGGACACAGAGCACAATGAAAGGCAAAAAGGTGAATACAGAAGTTTCTGGGGAAATAGGGTCTGGCTGTACCACTGTTTTTCACTGCAGTCATGACCAAATCCATGGCTGCCAATAGGGCTCCCACCCACCTGCAGCATCACAAAGCATAATTTGTTTATTTGTTATCCTTCCTTTTATTCAAAGGGAAGGGAGGTAGATATCACTGGGATATCATCACTAACCCAACTGCTGATTTCTTATTTCTTTTTTGTTTCCTCCTCTGTCATTTTTTTTTGATTTCCTACCTCGTGTAACTCGGAACACAGGGAACTAGAGAACACCCAACCAGCCTTGCCTTGGGCACCAAGGACTGAGCTTTCCTTCCCTTCATGCCTCCTGTGCTCATTTACAGAACAAATGCTAATAACAGCTAAAATCTGCTATTCTGAGTCAGTAACTCCCTAAATACATTGGAACAAACACAAATCAGGATCAAGCTGCATGCCAGCCTACATGAATATTTCATACATTCATTCTTCTCTGAATTCTTTTCACAACGTAGGAATTTATCCTAAACATCCCCACAAGTAGATGTAAGGGGGAACACCATTCACAGACCTACAAAGAACATCCACTTGGTGCTACTCCTGTGAGAGCACAGACTCAGTGATTGCTGCAGATCACATCACTCACAGTGAGATGCTGAAATGTACAGCAAGGGATCATGGCTTTGACTGACAGCACGAGCCTAAAAAGTAACTAAATCCCATTCACTCCAGAATGGAAGCCAGTGACTCCCATCTGCAGTCAGAGCCAGCGCTGCTGAGCGTGCCAGGAGGAATCCATGGAGCAAACAAATCCCTGAGCTGCTGGGACAGCAAATTCCCATTCCTCAAACACGTCTGGGAACCTGGAGGTAACTCAAAGCCTCTTTTTAGAACTGAAATGTAGTTTTGCCTCTGAGAGGGCCCTGAGCAGACCCCGAGCCCCCCTTACCGACGCAGCGGGTGCCCTCCTCGTTGGAGTGGTATCCTCTGCTGCAGCTCAGCATGTTCCTCTGGCAGGTGTAAGACCCAACTGTGTTGATGCAGTTGAATCCTGGTTTACAGGGCTCAGGGAGGGACGTGCATTCATTAATATCTGGTGAAAAAAATGAATTAGAATAGTGAGAGATGCTATTTAACCTTTCTAGCCTGTTTTCTTCCAGCTGCCACTTCTTTTCCTTCATTTCAGTTTCTTGTGCTCCAAAGATAAGGTCGATGAAGGTCTGCTGTGGGAAGACTTTCAAATGCAATAACTTTAAAAGGACAGCAATGTTTACATAAAATTCACAACAGGGTTTGAGGTAAACCACATATACAAGGGTAAATATGCCCCCCTTGGACAGGCTGGAAGGCCCAGGAGTTACAAACACACTCTGGTCACACCTACCAACACAGTTTCCCTCCGGATCTTGCAGAAACCCATCCATGCAGCGCTGCTTTGACTCACAGTAGAAGGACCCTCCTGTGTTCTGACAAACAAAGTTGACTTTGCAGCTGTGAGTTCCTCTCTCACACTCATCAATATCTGTTAATCAGACCAGAACAGCAAACTGGGATTAGTTGAGCTCTAACTTTCAGCAATCTTCATGACTAGCTAATTTCCAGAAAGGAAATTAGGAGGCAGTATTTAAACCAGACACATGTTGCCAGTGGGAAATCTGAGGTTTAGGTGTGTTTGCTCTTGGACATCCACTTCAGCACAGGCTTCAGGATCTGTCAGGTCCTGCAGCAAATTTCACTCAGGTCCCTACTGCCTCGTTTGCAGCATCTCTTGTAACCCACAAATACCAAAATACCTGCAGTTTTAAAATCCTAAAGATCCACATTAAAACTACGAATCAGGTGCTCATAATAAAATATGTACCACAGCCTTTCCTAAGCAAAATGGGCTCTTATTCCTTATATACCTCAGCAATTCAGGGATGTAGAAACCTGCCTCCTCTGAATTTGATACTCATAGGTAACCTTGTTTGAAGGGCTGGGATTTCACTGTGTACACACAGACATGCAGTCATGTAGGTGTGTATATATATACATATATATATACACTTATGTACACACAAAACCCACTTACCCAGCTCATAAAACTATGTGGAAAAAATCTAAATGAGGCAGTAATATTGGTAGCAAATTTTGCTTTTTTTCTTACTCTGCAGCCAGAGCCCACCACAACTTTCTCATTTTTTATTAAGTATATGAAATTATTTTCCAAATTATGTTCACCAATTCAGTGTTTGCTTTCTAGAGATGTTGAAAATACTTCCTGCAAGTTTCAAACTTATAAATTTACACCCAACTGCTCTGTGCTGAGTCACTGTGGTGTAGTGGTGTGGCTTCCATCTTCCAGCTGAAGAAATCCCACCTTGGAGCAGATTCAGCTATAAATATGTTCAAAATTCAGCTCCTGTGAACATTTTCAAATGGTGCTTTAACACATGCTGGTTCCCAAGGAATATCTTCACTAGAAGATAAAGACAAATGGAAGGAATTCCCAGTGGAGGAGTCCCCACTCCTCCAGGCAGAACTGCTGGCACTTCTCTTTCTACTCCAACATCTCATTAAATGTTAAGGTCATGAGGGAACGTCACCAGTCCCTCACAAGGCACTACTTTAATAACTCTGCCTACCACAGTTACAGACTGAGACAAAGAAAAATGAGTATTTCATAAACCTCACATTAATAAAATAAGATCAACAGTTATCTGTAGGCAATTTTGCATAGGTACTTCTGAAATTTTAGCCTTTCCTATAAGTAATTCATTTACAGGCTAACTTAAAACAATTTGTAAATCTTATAATCCCCTATAATCTAACTTTAAGACCAGAAAGTAAATTAGATTAGTAATAAATGTTAGAAATGCTCTAGAATGAGACAACTGAACAAGACACAAAAAGCCTCTTTAAGCAAACCAAGCTTTACTTATGACAGGGAGATTGCTGGTAATTTCTGGTTTATGGCCTAATGTTCCGTGTCAAAGGCTAAGCTCTCCCCTTGGGCATCTCTTACTCCAGCTGTCAGGGAACTGGGTGAAAATTTAGGAGTAAAGAGCACTGACTGTGCCCTGAAGGCAGGGCAGGGTGTCCTGCACACTCCTGAGCTGCACAGCAGCTGCTGCTGCGAGGGCTGATGTTCCCTGCCCTGTTAGACACCTCCAGAGTCCAAGATGGGGGGGATGCAGAATAACTTCTTAACCCACGGCCATTCCAAGCATAAATAAGTGCAGGCAGCTCTCCTGAACACAGGAAGGCTGGGGCTGTCAGCCTTTGAGCCCTCCAGGCTGTGATCCAACAGCAAACAGCACCAGCCCCTCCAGAGCACAGCAGAGCCAGGCAGAGTTAAGGGGAATTCCTCCATCAGGGAATTCTCTCTGTAATGCCTTAAAAACAGGGCAAATCCTAGTTCACAAGGTTTCACCCATTTTCTAAATAATTTATCACTGGAAACCATTTCAAATAAATGAATGTACAGAAGGGGCCTACAGAGCCCAACACTTCCACGATGCCTTTTGTAGCTACAACCCTCATATCCCAGAGCAGCAACAACAAAATCCTTTGCAATCCCTTTCCTTTCCTTCCTGTAACAGCTGAAAAACACTTGTCTTACCAACACAGTCCCCATCCTTGAGCTCATAGCCCGGCTGGCAGGTCAGCTCCTGCAGGCACCTGAAGGAGCCCATGGTGTTGACGCAGTGCTCTCTGCGCTGGCAGGTGTGTCTCTCTGTCACACACTCATTAATGTCTGCAACAAAGAGTTAAACCAGTCAGTGCCACGCTTTTATAAACTGATCCCCCTCTTCCTGCTCTTTTGGAAGGAGTCAAAAGCTCCAGTGAAACCATTTCTTCCAAAAGACAGTCAGTGTAGGCTTTGTTACAGCGATGTGATGAGTAACTCAAGGTCTCCAGAGTAACTGAAGAGACACGAATCCCATGGAGATTTCCTTCTCCTCCCCTCTTCCCAAATGGATGGTGCAGGCACTGAGGACAGGGATGGAGAGAACTGATTGAATGCAGGGTGGGCAGAGGATTGATGATCAGCCACTGGGTTACTGGATTTCCTGGATGGGAACGCCCTGGACAACTGAATGAGGAAGTGATTGATGCTTTTTGCTCCCCACCAGCTTCTCACAGCCCAGGCTATTTATCAGTCCTGCTGCTCCAGGCCAGGCAGGAGCTGCTGGGCTGGAACTGCTGCAAAAGATGGGTTCTGAAGCTGCCTGCCCTGCTGAGGGGGAGGAATCCAAACACCCATTTCCTAAGGAACGCATCATTAGAACTGGATAGCAAGAACACAGGGAGAAAGGAACCCTCGGGGCTCAATCAAGTTGCAAATTCCTATTTCAATCTTTAAAGAGATCTGATTTCAGCAGGTGGAGTAGGGGAAAAGTTCTTTTTAAAAAAAAAAAAAATCACTTAAACACAAGGTTGCAGAGTGTAGGACAATTAGGAAAGGAATATGAAACACCTTTGATAGGCTGGGCTGAAATCATCTCAAATTCAGGTTTTGCTGATGTTAATAATGAAAGCTGGAACAGCATGATGAGCAAATACCTAGAAGTTACAAAAAGGGGCAGAGACCGGGAAGAGAAACTTTCTTGCCAATCTCCACAAAATCCCCCATGTTCCCGGCTCTATATAAAGCTCAGGAGTATTTCCAGAGCTAACAAAAGCCAAATGTGACCAGAGCCATTACTAGTCATCTGGCTGCTCTGTGCATGAAGCTGTTTTCATACTACACAATAAAGCAAGTATTGTTTAAATCAGATTTTCATTTTGGCTGTAGAACCTCATTCTCAGATAAGTACATCAGATATATGATTTCTTCCATGGAGCACAAAAACAGGAAAAGCCATTTTTAAAAGCTTTTTGTCTTAAAAAACAGCTCAGCTTGTTTTCTACCAAACAGATGAACGGGGCACCGAGAAATTTCAGTTCCTGATGGACTAACTGGTGACCTGCACTGAGCTCTGCAAGGCCACAACATGAACTTGGTGGCATTTCACTTCTCATTTATTTGTCTTTTTGTTTGTTATTGCTGTTCTTTCCATGCTGTGGACCTGCTTCCCAAAGCTAGCTGGTGAAACCCTGCAAGGTCCCCACCATCACCTGGATATTTCTGCCTGTCCCACAGGATCTTTGATACTCCCACAGAGGGGCCCCAAAGCTTCTGTAGGGTTCTGTCCTCCCAGTGCAGTTTCTATACATCAGGATGCAGAGCAAGGAGCAATATTCTCATGGGTGATCTTGGGGGGGAAAAACCCACACTCAAAACACACAAACAAAAAATCCCTCACGCCGGGAGAAGAATTATCAGGTGCTGTGGCAGAACTCTCCCACCTCACTAGAATTCATTCTTAAATAAATTTGAGATTTATTAATTAATTGTTGAGAAAACCAGCTATGGATAATCCACCTAATAGCACCCAACACAGTGCAAGCCTCTCTACTGGCTGTACCACAGATATGAGATTATCTTTTCTTGCAAACCAGAAAAAGACTTCTCATATAAACAAACTTTGACCACCACACTCCATCTTGAGAACTCCAGTCAGTCCAGCACAATGTCAAAACAGCCACCAGGAGGACAGTGTGCATGCCTGAAATACAGCCAAAGAAGGGAGGAAGTATTCCACCTGACCAGCAGGTGTAAACAGGGACAAAGAAGGTTTTTTCACAGAGGGAAAAAAAGAAAAATATAATACAGTTCCATGTTTTGTCTCTATTTTTTGATTCAAACTTCTGAGTACGGGAGAAAACACATAGAACTGGCTGGAACACATCTGAGGAAATTAAAATGATGGAAACTGGCAGATTCCATCCAGAATTTTGTTTTCAGTGGAAGGTTTGGGCACATGTGATACACTGACAAAGCCCAAGGACTGTGAACTGGGTTGAGGTGCAAGGCTTAAACTTGAGCCTTGGGCATGCAAAGCCCTACCCAGTGACAGGGCATGAACCTCCATCTCTGAGATCAGACCAGCTGCCAGCTCACCACAGTTCCTTTCCAGTTAATCAAACAAACATGCCTTTTTTTGTTAATTTTTCTAATTAAATTCCTGAATGTTCCATAAAATCCAGAGTGCCCATAACCTGTGCCTCTTCCGTCCTGGAAGCCAACCCAACAAGTCAGTGAGATGCTTGACAGAGCACTAGGAATAACAGGAGTTCTGTTTGCAGTTTGGAACACAGTTAATTCCAACACTGCACCAGCTGTAGTCTTCATCCAACCCAATTAAGACTGTGAGGTAGGGTAAGATGATATTTATTAAAAAAAACAGGAATAAGAGGAAAAATACTTCAGTACCATATTAAAAACAAGTCACAAGGTTAATTTGAAGAAATCTCCACAGTCATGTGTGTGGTAGTGACTTTATTAATTCCTCATTTTATGTCAGCAAAACCCAGGATGAAATCTAATCAGGTAATATCTCCTTTTTTCCCAGGAATTGTGGATGCAAACAGCACCATACACAGGATCCCTGACCCATCTGCTGCTGGCATAAGGAATATCAACATTTACCTCCTGCTATTTGTTTCAATACGTACTCTGACATTAAAAATAAATTTTTATGGCCTTTCTATAAAAATGTGAAATGGAGGCTGTTCTTGTCCCGCCTCTGTAGTTTATCCTTAGTTTTTTCCTCTTCAAATTGCTTCAGCTCTATTTGTTTTATAGGATATGTCTGTGTAATTTAGGCATGTGGTTATTTTGCAACACGCATCCTGTGCTCAGGCAGAGCCCTAAAGTTCAGGGATAACGTGGCCACTCACTGCTCCCCCTGTCAGGAGGGGAAACTGAGGGAGTAAAATAGTCACTGTGTAAGTGGGTGGTGGTAATGACTCTGCCTGAAAGCCACCAGGAAAAACAATTCCCACTAACAACATCCAGCCTGGTTCTTATCTCTGGAGAACATGGAGTTTTCCAGCCTGCAGACATTTTATTATCTGCTCTCAAAGTGACACAAAGGTGGGGTGTGGGAGCTATTTAAACAGCTGGTGACTCCTCATTGTGCATGGTTGGCTTTCAGGAATCCTGGATATCTGGAATTCCACAGTTTGACTAAAGGAAATTCAACAGATAAAAGGTTAGCAGCTGGTTTGTTGCTGTGCACAGATTGTTCCTCCCCGTCCCTAAAATATGCAAAGAGTAACATCATTAAACCAAGGGGATTCTGCAAACACACTACCAAAGGTTTCCTTGTGGTGTGTGAGACAGCTCGAGGTGTGGCACAAAGGCAGTGAGGCTGGAAAAGGACATCTCAGAACCAGACAGTGAACAAAACCCAAACCACAGTGTGCTTGTGGCTTTCCCCTTGGACTAGAAAAGTAGGAAAAAATGTTCAATACTGCAAATGTTCTCCTGGCACCACCCTCAGAGCAGAGCTGGATACCAGCAGGGAGCACACAGGATGGATCTGTTCAAAAAGAAGGAAGAGAAATTTCCAAGTTTTCTGGATTATTTAAAAGGATACCTGTAAAAACTACTTGCATTAGAGGAACACAGAGGTTTGGTATTTAGTGAGGGAGAAAAGAGTCTTTCAGCTTCACAAATGAGAGCTGTGTCTTTCCTTTCATTAGCAGTGCCTGAGGTTTATCTTATATCAGTCATAATAAACCTCTATCATAATGTCATGGGGGAGAGGAAGAAAGTGAATAAAGGGAAGCACTTGGCACCTGCCACAGCAGCTCCTGCCAAAGCTGCAGACACACATGCACTGGTTTAGTTTCAAAAGGCTGTGGAAAAGGACAGATCTATCCTTCCTGCAAAGTCCTGGGAGAACATCAGGGAATTAAGTGGCAAGACAGAAGCAGAACACAAGGAGGGGCAGTTCCTGCAGCTGCTCACCTGGTGGATGCAGCAGAACACACACCATGGGCAAGTCCAGCCCCACCCTCCAGCTCACAGCCTGATTCTGCCTCTGAAAGGCCTCCTGCCTTCCAGTGCTGTGCTCTCAGCCATTTCATTTAAACTAAATCATTTCATTAGTTTTCCACACTTACCAGTATCTCTGATTTCAAAATAAATATTAATAATAATAAAAGAATTAAAAATGCAGTTTTGGCTAGTTAGGGAAAATCCAGAAGGTGGTAAATCACATTTCTTCTCCAGACCCTGACACTGCAGAAAATTTTCCTGCTCATGCCCCCAGGCCACATGGTGCTCATTAGTAAGATGAGGTCATAGAGCTTTAAAGACAGAACAAAACCAAAGCTGTGATGGTCAGAAAAACAATGTTCTAAACTCAGGGAGGAGGACAGGGGTGGAAGAAGGCACATGCATCCACACAAGACATTATAGTCACAGGCACTGCTGCTTCCAGAAATTACTTGAGGTCTCCAGGTGCTCTGTTTTTCCAGGCAGCACTGCCTCCTAAACCAGCCTCTAGAAAAGTGCCCAAAAGAGAAAGTATTTCATAAGCTCAGGCCTTGGATGCTGGGAAAAAATTAAATCCTCGTAAATACACTTGTAAAGATCGACTGGTTTCTCAGATGGACTCAAACAGCAGGGATGATACAGCAGAATCACAATGCATCTTTGACTTTTACACAAAGAAATCAGTGCCAGAATCAACAAAGGACTGATGTGAAGTTCAGAATCCCATCCCTTTGGAACGGATCTTTTCCACTGCCCGGCCTCACGCAGATCCCTTGAGCTGTATTTCTGGAGTTTGGTTGCTCCACAGTGCCTGGGAAGCATTGACAGTGTCCAGAGAGATCAATTCTCTGTTTTTTGGAGGATTTATCAGTGCTGCTGTGGTCATCACACCCCTGGCTGTGCACAGAGTTATCTGTAACCCAAGGATGTATCGCTGGGGAAGGAGCCAAACAGCACAGGACTCATGAGGTGGAGTGGCTGAGCAAATGGTGCACATGTGTTTCCACTAACTGGGATTGAAATGTCATATGCAAGGATGGCCTTGGAGCACAAATGGTTTAAATGCATTGCAGAGCATGGAGCATTATGATGTTGTGGTGAAGGGCTGAGACCTCTCGTCTTACCAACACATTTCCTATGCCTGTTGAGAATAAAGCCCTCTGCACACATCCCACTGTGGCTGACACAGGAGAATGATCCCAGTGTGTTCTCACATAATTGTCCGCTGGAACAAGCACCTGTGAGGCACTCATCCAAATCTACACCAGCATGAGGCAGCCAAAAGGGAAAAACAGAGTTCTATTAGAACAATTGCTGAAATGAAACAACAGTTCTTTCGCGCTGGAGATGTCTGAATGAAGTGTGCTGGAGCTTCCACATCAGCACCATGCTGTAATAAATGCAGTGTTACACTGAAAATAGGGCTGGAATAAGGAATAAACCCTCGGAAATCATCTAGTCCTTGCTCACACCCCGACACTTTCGTCATGCCAGAAAGAAACATCCTTGGAACCAGGCAGGCAGTCCCACAGAGCCAGTGCACACTGTTCCAGTGCACCCCTACCATCAAATCCTTGCTGTAATTTAGATTAGAAATGGCCCTTGCTACAATTTAAACTCACTGCTTCCACTGACATTTATAAATTTTTTCATTTCCTGTAGGAAAATGATTGCCTTGAAATGCCCCTTTTGATTCTGACATTAATTAATCAAATTAGCTTCCACCACACTTCAGTAAGCACTGCACTGTGAATATTTCATCTGGTGATATTAAAATCCCATTTTCTTCACAGACTGTCCAGAATTTCATGAAAATGATTTGTAATTCAATAAGACCTGAGATTAAGAGGGATGTGGATCATTTGTGAGCAATTCTGAGCATCGGAAGCTTCTCCCTGCATTTATTGTCACTGCTCCCATACTCAGAGATTTATAATTAAGGTATGTCACAGGGCATTGCTTCTGACCCCCAAATCTTCCCTGGCCAAACATATCCCTTGTCACTACTCCAGCATGTCCACTTAAAATGTGTATCATGTGAATGGTCATGGTGCAGCTTTGGAATTCACTGCTCATCACTGTGCAAGGCTGAGCTCCAGTGTCAAGTGGAACAACTGGAGCTGGACCAGCTCCCGTGGCTGTGAAGCCTCCCTGAGTTCAGGTTTTCAAGGCAAGAGGAAATAAACCCCAACAAAGCAGATGTCAGGCAGAGCTGTGGCTCTGGGGGTCCCCCAGGACAGCAAACCTGCCCCCATCCTGCTCACTGCTCCAGAAAGAAAAGCTGTGTGTCCATAGCTGTGCAGACAGACCCTGGGCAGGAATGGCAGTGGGAAGAGAAACCAAGAGGGCTGAAGAAAATCCTGGAATGTCAGAGGTAAAGAGCACAAATCCAGGCTTGCCTTCACCTGAAGTCCCCAGGTACCAGCACACTGTGCTTCAGGAGTTATCTGTGGAGCAGATCTGGGATTCCTTCTGCCAGGTGGTCTCTGTACTGCCACTGCAATTCACAGCACTGACAATGAGGAACCCTTGGAGGGACACCCAGGGGGGTGAGAGGTAAAACTCCCTCTCTGTGGTGAGCCCAGAGCACTTACCTTCACAGGACACACCATCAGCCATGAGGGTGTACCCAGCCAGGCAGGAGCACACGGCCTCTCCTTCCACCACGTTGCAGAGGTGCTTGCAGGGCCCGTTATCTGCACAGGGCACAATTACAAACCACATCAGCACCCACAGCACGGATCAGCTGCACTTACACACCTCCAGGTCCCAAAAACCATCCCAGCTTAGGCAACAGGGACTGCAGTCTGTAAACAACGTGTCCAACAGCCCTGATCACTGCTGACAGCCCTCCCCTGGCACCCAAACCCCCCCTGCCACCCTCCCTGCACTGCTGCCATGTGCTGCTGCTCCCCTCACACCAATGGGGGTAATTACACTGAAGGCAGAGCGTAGCCCCAAATTCCTTCCTCAGGAATTCCCCTGACAATTCCTCAGCCTTGTGCCAGAGGTAACAAATTAGGGATGTGTGTTGAGACCAGACTGGGGGAGGGATGAGTGGAATTTTATTCCATCTCCAGACATTCCTCACTCCCTGCATGAGTAGTTCCCACCTCCAACATACCTTTACACTGGTCCTGCTCCTCCTGCAAGGACACCACCAGAATGGGCTGAGAGGGAGAGGCTACTGGAGGGATGGTGGCTTCAGCTTCCAGCCTTGTCACCTGTGCCCTGTCAGGATCTGTAAGGCAAGGGAGGCAGAGAGGATCAGGGACAGCACCATCCCCACTCTACATGGCAAGGGGCCTGGTCCCATCCATCCCACCCCATCGTGGTCTGGAGGAGGGAACATCATCATGGATTACAGATCAGGGAGCCTGGCTGAAAACAACCTCTGTGGAGTAAAATATTGTAACATATGCATAAACCAGAAAGTGATAATTTTATTTTTAAAAATCTCTGCTATATTGTAAATACAGTGGCTGTCCTCCATTCAGTGTTTGATGGAAAAGAAATCCAAACCCCAAACAAGCCTTTGACCTTATTCTGTCCATCCTATTTCAACACAGATGAACAGCAGACACTCACCTTTATAAGCATAGGATACTTTGGAATGGCTTTTGTACAGCCAAGGGGAAAACATGACAGCTGCTGTCTGTCATTAAGATTTCCATCAGACAGTAATGTTAAAGGTATCAGGAAAAAAAAGAGCTCTGACACATCAGTAAGAGTAATCCAGTTTATCAATATCACCAAAACAGAAGCCTAAATCCATAAGGCTGAATTCTTCCTTAAGAGGGAGGTGTCCTGTTCCCACTGACTCAAGTTCAAGTGTCACCCAGAGCAAAGTGTGAGCCACCAAACAATGACAACATTAAATGACTAAGGGTGATTGCAGTGTAGGTTTGGGGTATGGGAAGAGTGATTTCATGAAAAAAAAAAACAAAGTCATCACAGACATACAATGGGCTATGGTACAAACAAAATCACTTGCTTGTGGCACAGCCTGAGTGATTTCCCCAGAAATGCCAGAGATGGGCACACACACAGAGGATAAACGAGAAATAAAAGGCCAGGCAGAACACATGTGGTTTAGCCAAGTGTAACCAGTGAGGTTCACAGAATCACAGAATCTGCTGAGTTGGAAGGGACCCACAAGGATCATCCAGTCCAACTCCTGCACAGGCCCATCCCCGAGAGTCACTCCCTGTGCCCCAGAGGATCAGCCAAACCCTCCTGGAGCTCTGGCAGCCTTGGGGCTGTGCCCACTGCCCTGGGGAGCCTGGGCAGTGCCCAACCACCCTCTGGGGAAAGAACCTTTTCCTGAGATCCAACCCAAACCTGCCCTTAATTTGACCCAGGAATGACCTAGCAATGACCAACCCTTGCTCCTCCCATCCATCTCAGGTGTCCCACACACAGTCCTCTCCCCTCATCACAAGTTTCTACCCCAGCTGAGCTCTGCAAACCCCTCCACACTTCTTGGCACAGCCACAGGCACCACAGTCCTGCAGATCTACAAGAACACTGACAGGATAACAGGATGTCTTCACCCAAATCTGCACTTCAGCCCAGCTGGTGGGGGGAGAAGCAAAGCAAAGCAAAGCCAAACAAAAGCACACACACGCTCCAGGTGAGCCAAATTTTGCAGTGCTAAAATAAGAACCTTCTCTTTTGCCCCTTTTGGATTAGGTTCCTTTCCCAGAACTTTAATTCAAACAACAGAGCAGACAGCTGCCACAGGAACAGTCAATGACATCACTGATGTAACACCACGTTGAGAAGGATGACATAAATGCTCATTGTTTGGCTTGGGCAGAGAGTTGGGAAGCCTAAGGAATTCTGTCATTGGATGGAAACACTGGTTTTGCTCGTTAAATAACTGAAAGCACTTGTAACTAATATAAGGTTTCAACTTTTCGGGTTATCTGATTTGAAATCCTGCCACTGGAGAACTGCAGAAATCAAAACAATTACAATACAATAGACTTTCTTTTCCAGACTTCCACCACACTAGATAAATTTAGAGTTTGTTATCACTGAAAGATGTTAATGATTTTAGATAAAAATCAAAGCTCAGGAAGCAATGCTGATTCTGTCTGAACTGAGTTAAGTTTATCTAAAGGAAACCTAACTGTGAAATAAAAAATTTCTCTGAGAAGAAAAGATAATTCATTAAAAACCTTCAGAAATCCTCCTCTGAAAAGTGCACTCTTAATTTGAACATATGAAATACCACCCTGAGCCACCAAAACACAAAAATACAGTATAATTAAGTTTCCTAAATTATTATTTTTCTTTATATTTTACGATTTCTACAGAATATGTCCATGCATCAACACCCAAAAATAACCTCACGGAAACCAAAGAGAAACTAAAGAAAAGCTTAGAAGAGCAATGCAGGTGACACAAAGATATTGCCACTCCTGGTGTTCCCTGCCCATCTCACCTGGAGAGCAGCTGGTCCCATCATCCTGCAAGGTGAAATCTGGGAAACACGAGCACTTGTAGGAGCCCACGGTGTTGATGCACAAATGCTGGCAGAGCTCCCCACCATAGAGGAGACACTCATCCAGGTCATCTCCAGGCAGGCTGTTTGACAGTTCAGCTTCACTGCTGATGGACAGAGCTTCGTTGTGTTCTTCCCTCTCTGAAACTACAACAGAACAGCACCAGTTGGTTCTCTGATGGGTGTTTTTGCAGTGGGACTGGACAGAATGGGGTGTTTGGTCACACAAACTCCAAATAAAGGTGGAGCTACCCAAAACAGTTACTCCAAGGGTAGAGCAAATGGACCCATCCTAGAATAACACCACTGTGCTGAAGGTCCACCTTCTCCCTCTGTAAAGCTGAAAGGACAGACATTTTACAGGAGCCACTGAGAAACAGGGAGACTCTAGGAGATCACAAGCTCCCCTTTCACACTGACTGCCAACACCCTTGCTACTGATATTTGAACCAAGGTATCACACTGAAGCCTCATCTGAAATCGGCCCCACTGAAGAACCACACTGAATTTCAAATTTCAAGAGAAAACCACACCCATTTGGTTTGGAAACTCTTCTCAACACCACAATTTATTGGCTCCTTCTGTACCAGCATCACCAACAGCCTGGGAGCCACTGAGCAGTGACATGGCTGCCCTATCCACTGCTTTTGAACACAATCCTTTTCCATCCCCAACCAAGTCTGACAAGACTTTTTGTGACACCAAAACAAATTGTTCAGCGAGTTTCTTAGCCAGTTTTACTTAAATAAACCTTTTCCCTTGTTGGTGAGAGAAAATACACATTTAGTTCATGAGAACAGAGACCAAAATTGTACCCTCACATATGCAGGAGGTTACCATGAAACTCGTGTGACAGGTGGGTACAGAGTGATGCCAGAGAGAACGTGATCTTGGGCTGAGCCTCATGGCTGTCCAAGCTCCAGATTTGCCATGTTCCCTTTGTCAGGCCTCTCTGGCTGCAGGATTTGCCTCAGCTCTTCAGCATCACTATGTTTATATGTTTAAAGTGTGAAAGCACACTTGCAGTGCTCTGGGGCTGTTCCAGAGTGTGCTGTGAGGAAGCTGCCATTCTGTATGAAAATCTGCTCCCAGGATGTTTCATTGATATCACAGTCCATGGGATTACTTTGAGTGGACAAAACTCATCCTTTGCTTTATACAGAATCCTGCAGGATTGCTCCTGCTAAAACACACCTTCAGTTTGCTCCTTATGGAGGGCTGGTGGAGGCCTCTGGGCTGTGTGACTCAGGGGAAAACCAAACGCCAAACTGCTCAAGAAGGTCTGTTTAAGGATCAGAAACATCCACATATTCTTTGCTTTTTTAAAAGTGTTTTAAGAACAAGTCTATACTTGATCTGAGGGGCAAAGCAACTGTTCACATTACTCCTTCCAGCACCTCCCTGTATGACCTTGTGACATACAGACCTTGTCTGCAATGTCTCCAAATGATAAATGGGCACTTACCCTTCTCAGGAGTCACTGTTGGCAGAGGCTCAGGATGCCTTTTGATTTCTGGATGGATGAAGTGGTCCCCCCCCTCACAGCAGGACAGCATCACATGGCTGCAGGGGTAGCCCAGGTTGATGTTGGACTCGCAGGTTTTGCCCTCACTCCTCAGTCTCAGGCCCAGATTGCAGCAGTCACAGCATTGCTGCAAAGGAAGGGCACTGTCAGGAACAAGGATTTGGGAGCACTGGCACAGACTGCCAGGGCAGTGGTGGAGTCACCAACCCTGGAAGTGTTCAAAACACATGTGGATGTGGTGCTTGAGGACGTGGTTTGATGGTGAACATGGTGGTGCTGGGTTCATGGTTGGACCTGGTGATCTCAGAGGGCTTTTTCAACCTTAACAATTCTCTGATTCTGTGATTTAATACAGCTTCAGGGATGAGCCCCCACACATCTGGAACTGATCTGCACTTCCCTCAGCATCTGGAAAAGCACTTTGGGTTTAGACAGTTGCAAACATCAAAGCTTTACTTGTGCTTGTTTTTGCCATTCTGCACAGAGGGGTCAACTGCAGCCCCAGTAAACACAAAGTCTGGCTGTGCCAGGGATTTCAGCAGCTCCACGTGCAAGGAAGGAGTGGTGCCACAGACCAGCTCCTCCCAGCTCTTGCACAGCCATTGCTTGTGTGTGGTATGAATAAAAATCATAAAGAAAACAACACAGATCTACACCTCTTAGCATTAGAGCTCAAGAAATGGTCAGTTGTTGGACACAACGTGACAGGAATTGGAAACAGCCTGCATGGACAGGAGGATCAGCAGCACCTGAGCCCTGTCAGGGTGTCAGGAAAGACTCTTTCTCTCTGCACCACTGCCCTGCAAACCTGCTGTGACCTTTAATTACCTGACTGTGCTGGGCACATCCTGCTGAGACAGTGGCTGGAGGAAGGCCAGGGTGTATTTCCTGAGCTATTTGCCTTCCTTTTCCTTCCTGAGAGCATCCAAGCAGCAGCAGCTTTGCTGACAGGTTGATGCAATGGGGCCTCCCACCTCTTGCAGTTTGCTCTGCTGCAGGTGGCAGACAAAACCTGTCTGGTGCTTTACTGAGTGCCATACAGACCCACTGCACAGTCAGGCCACAAAACCACATCAGACAAATGATATCAAATTCAAAAAGACTATACTGTACATGCAGAGAGGACACCTAACCCAGCAGGGAAGGTGAGGAGCTGGGAGTCTCTGCTGCAGAGACAGCAGGGGTCGTGTGGGAATTGAAGATGCTTGTCTGGATTTAGATTTAAGTGTCCTCTTATATTTATATATTTTAATATCTTTTTATATATTTTAATTTTTTATATATATATACATTAAACTGTCAGATTAGTTATAAAATCTTTCCCTCTGCAACTCCTCTGATAATCATCCACTCCAGTAACTCAAAGTTTGCAGCTGCACTAAAACAGCCTCTCTGAACCCAGAGAGGTGATTTCAGTCTATCCAAATATTCAGCCAGTGCAAAGGATCAGACACAGAAAAGAAGGGAATGATTTGAGCTGGCACCAGTGAGCTCTGCCAACAGAAAGTCCAAGGCTGGAGAAGCAGCAAATTGAACTCAGCTCCCACTTCCCAGGACGGAGATCCCCCACCTGAGGAGGGCAAGTAAGAGAAGGCTGGAAGAGCATGGAAATGGGAAGGAATCATGTTTCATGATTAGCAACCCCAGGGGGGCATTCCCATTAAATCAGAGCCTGTCTCCCGTAGGGAAATGGGAAACTCATCCACTGACACCTCAATCTGCAGAAACTCCTCCACAAAGTCACTTTTTTCAAGACTCAAATGCTGCAGCTTTGGGGTTTCTTGAGCATTTCACACACAATACACAGCGTTGCATGTTCAGCCAATACTTATGGCTACAGCTCATGGTTTATGTCCCTGCTTCCTAACCCGAAAAATCCCCAAATATCATAACTAGCAGACGTTACTCACATTTGCAAATATGCACAGCCAGAAGGAGTTGCCTTTACGTGCTCAAATACATGTTTGTGAAAAATTTACAGTACAGGTCCTGAGGAAGATGAATTATTTTGGACACTGAATAGCTAAATCATCTTTCCAAAAGAAGTATTAAAAAACCCCAACCTAGCTATAATGGATTGTGGTCGTGCTAGAAAAGGGAAAATTCCTGTTTCCTTCCTCCCCAAATCCAGAATCCTCAAACTCAAAATTTTATGGAAAGAAAGAAAATCCTATTTTCTGTAACTTTTTAAAATTTTGTCTCCATTTTTTCAGCTTCAATATGCCAAACAGAAGTTCAGGGTAGTATGTGTTATTACCAAAGTACTATAAAATACGTAATATTTGCCTTGAAGAACCTGGCTTCTTTCAGTCATAGTTTGATTCCCAATTTATCCCATGTGCAGGTGTGATAGGGAGTGTTAAATCAGTCAGACACCTTTAGGTACACATATTTTCCAGGTGAACAAAATGGTCTCATTTTCCAGTGGAAAAACTTGTTCGCTGAAAAGTTCCTTCTACAATGCAAAACCTTGAATGCCTTGATCTTCTATCAACTACTTTCTGAACTCCACAGGAATTCTACGGCTGATTTAATAGAAAATACAACTATTTTAACCTTCCAATTGAAAATATACCTTGAGAACCATTCTGTGGTTCACACCTGTCTATGTTCCTCTCACAATTATCTTTGCTGGAATCCAGCATAACTGGATTTGCTATGGTGGTATCTCCATCCTCTAAGAAAAAATCCCTAAGCATGTATTTTTTGTATAAAAGGAGAAAACCTTTCTTGTGATACAAAGCATTACAAACCTTTGTATGTTTGATTATATAAAGTTTGATTATTTTCAATTACAACAGTACATATTGTAATACAAAAGAAACACGAAGTCTCAACAGTCTCGATGTTTATTGATTTAAATTCTTTTTTTTCAAGCAGTAGCTGCAATAACTGAAGAGCTGAATGGGCTAAATAGGTGAGCAAAGCTGTTCCTTCAGTAATTTTACCATTTCAAATGGTTTCTCTTGAAGGAAAACATCCCACTGGAACTGGCACAAGGAACCATTCCACAAAAGTATTTTGTCCCGTGTTTCAATTCAGACAGGACTGAGGGAGTTATCCCTCTCCACCTCTTCCTGAGGAATGACTGTATAATCGGACTTACTCTACAGCTTGGGCTCTGCCTGGCATGCAAACAACCCCTGGGGAAAACCTAAGAATAACAATTCTCTCCCATTTCAAACATTAATGTCTTCTCCCAAATGCACAAATTCTCTTTTTACTCTACTGATACACTGCAGACCCAAATAAACAGTAGTTCTGGAAATGAGAAATTGGTATAGCTAATTAAACTTCAAACTCCCCAGTAGATGGCCATGGATTTTGCCTCCCCAGTGAACAATTATTTGGGAGAATCACCGATGTACCAGGACAGACAGAACTAATCAGGTTCCTGCTGAGACCACGGAAGCTGCATTTAAGCTCAGCTCTAGCCCTGGACATTATTATCAGAGGGAAACGAATTCCAGAATGCACCCTTCTGGTGGAAACAAGACAAGTGAGCAAGCAAGCTGCTGAATCTTCAAACTGGTTTAAATTGGTTGGGCTCCAGTGACTCTCATAAAGCAAATCTCATTTATCCAAGTGGGGGCTGTGGCTCAGGGTTTGTGATTTGCAGAGTCGGTTAATGGGCTGCCTTTATTCATGAGCAAAAACTTCCATCACCATCTAAATGCTTGTTCCTCTAGTCCACATTGTGTTTAACTGAAAAATGGGGTCACAATTCAACACTGGGGCCAAGTAAAATGTCCAGTAATGGGTTTTGCATTATATCTTCAATTAAGTTTTGCCCCATCATTTTCTAAATTCTTCTACACAATAGATATAGAAACTAAAATGGACTTTTCAGCTACTTCCAAAGTGAGGAAGCAAAAGTAATACAGCCAGTTAAGTCTACAGAATGGAGATGGAAAGATTCAAAACAACATTACTGTAAAATTTTAAAAGGGGTTGTAAACCTTAATGCAAACAACCTAATGTCCCTGTTACATTCCTGCAACCTTATCTTTTCTGTGCTCCATAATAATGCATGAAACATTTCCTGCTAAATGCAGGAAATGAGGACACCTCACGCTGAGAACAAAACCTGCAGAAGCAGCAGAGCAGCTCACCTTGTAGGATGACCCTGTGCAGGGGTCACCGTCCTCGGGGCCGCACGTGTCGCCCTCCTTGGCAGCGACCATCCCGGCCAGGCAGCTGTTCTCCCGCACCGTGGACACACAGCACTGCTTCTGGGCAATCCTGCAGAGGGGCAGGGAGAACACACCAGCATGGCATGCAAAAACCCCCCGAGCTATTGGATTCATAACACATTCCACATATTTGGTCTCTCCGACAACTGGGGCAGAGGAGGGGCAGGGACTGAGCTCTGCTCTGGGGGGACCAGGGACAAGACTCAAGGGAATGGCTAGAGCTGTGTCAGGGCAGGCTCAGGTTGGATCTCAGCAAAAGCTTCTTCCCCCAGAGGCTGGTTGGGCACTGCCCAGGCTCCCCAGGGCAGTGGGCACAGCCCCAAGGCTGCCAGAGCTCCAGGAGGGTTTGGCTGATCCTCTGGGGCACAGTGCGTGACTGTTGGGGATGGGCCTGTGCAGGGCCAGGCATTGGACTGGATGACCCTTGTGGGTCCCTTCCAACTTGACATATTCTGGGATCCTGTGTGATGTGTAAATACCCCCCTGGCCCCCAGCTTGTCCCAGCCATGGTGTGTCACAGGACCAGGGCAGGGCCCGTCCCTGTGCTGGCACTGCCGAGGCCCCTCAGTCCTGTGTCCAGTTCTGGGCCCCTCAGGACAAGGCAGACATTGAGGGGCTGGAGTGTTTCCAGAGAAGGGAACAGAGCTGGGGAAGGGGCTGGAGCAGCAGGAGGGGCTGAGGGAGCTGGGGGGGCTCAGCCTGGAGAAAAGGAGGCTCAGGGGGAACCATCTGGCTCTGCAACTCCCTGACAGGAGGGGGGAGCCAGGGGGAAGTCGGGCTCTGCTCCCAGGGAACAAGGGACAGGAGGAGAGGAAATGGCCTCAAGCTGCACCAGGGGAGATTTAGCTTGGATATTGGGAAAATTTCTTCATGGAAAGGGTTGTCAAGTACTGGAACAGGCTGCCCAAGGAAGCAATGGAGTCCTCATCCCTGGAAGTGTTCAAAAAACATGTAGATGTGGTGTCTGGGGACGTGGTTTAGTGGTGGACCTGACAGTGCTGGGTTACCAGGTGCACTCAGTGATCTTATCCAGCCTTAATGATTCTCTGATTCTATGAATATTAGCATAATACAGAAAGTACCACTGGCCTTTGCAGGAGATATTTTATTTCTAGTAAAAGGTGTCCTGATAAATGCTCAAGAAGTCTTGTGTTTAGGTCACTGTCTCTCAAAGTCTGGTCACCAATATCCCTCACAACTCATCATTGTTTGTGTGACAGTCTCTCTTCCCCATGTTTTGTTTCTCAGAAGTATTTTGGAAGGTTTCAGAAATCAAAAACCAGACAGAAATCTTGTTCCATGGAAAGTGGGGAAAGAGAAACACACCTGTACACACTTCCTCATTCACCAGCCACAGGGCTGAAGCCCTGGACAGGGCTGGAGGAAAGCATCACATCATAACACACCTATGAACTCTCCTTTATACCACCACAGAGTGTAGCCTAGAATTTTAACTCTCCTCTAACTTTGGTTATCAAAGAGAAGGTTATGGGTGACTAGATCACTGTATATGAAATACTTTGGGAATGTACATTTCCTAGACATGGTGCTTCAAATCAAACATTTTAACAAGATTCAGTGAAGGCTGACATGATGAAAAATCTAAATGTCAAATTCCTAAATGGATTTTAGTAGATATTCATTGAAATACTAAAATACTCTTCCCCACTATTTTTAAGTCTATAGTGGATTCCTCTCATTCAAAGAGGGATGTGCCTCCTTCATACATATACAGAAGGGCAGATAAATCCCATAGTGCCTTTGGCTTTACTCTGTAGCATCATTTAGGTTAGAAAAGATCTTCAGGATTAATTGCCAACTGGAGAAATACAAATTTTTGAGCAATGAATTATTACTACCCAAATGTATTCAGGTATCAGTAATATAACTATTATTTCTTACAGAAGACATCCAAACTTTCATTACAATTTAAAAACCAATCAAAACTTACTATTGTCTGTAGAAATGACAAAATGCTACTAGAAGCATTTTTATATGCTCAAAGTATTTACTGTATTTAAACACTGAAATCTCTACAGATTCATGTTCTCTGAAATGTGACATTTAGCCATAAGAAATTCCTGGGGCACTGGAGTGTCATTAGCCACATTTTAGTATTTTTTACCTATCAGCACAGCTCAGTTTCAGCTCCTCTAACCCCGGAAAATGAACTGGGAACAGCGTTAACCACATTCTCTTGGCTTTTATCTTCTTCACAAACCTACTCTTTGCAGAGCAAATAAGTAAGTTTGTGGTTCAAAGAAGCTTCACAGCATTTCTGCTTCAGGAAAGAGTTAATGAGTTAAGATCAGTGAATGTTTTAAACTGCTGTGAATCTCTAACTGGGACACAGTGTCAGCAAAGAGCAGGATCCGTGCTGGGACAGCTGATGCAAAAGCCACCCAGATAAACATTGCTCTGTTATGATAAAACATATCAATTATAAGATAAAAATTACTATGCTGGGTCAGATGAGATTTCATCAAGCCTAACATCCTATTTCTGACACAGCCTGGAAGCACAAGCTCTGGGAGTATTTTTACATCTGACTATCAATTGATTATCTAAAGATTTCCTGTTCTTGCTTTAGTTTAAGTTCAGTCATCAAGTTACTGCCCATGATCTCATTTAGGCAGTCCCAGTGTCCATCCTGCAGCCCATGTTGTGGTCTCCAAACAGAGACAAGTCAAGTTGGGACATGAATGTCCAGAGACATCAAGATACATCAACAAGCAGCTTTAACAATGAAGTTTTTTGCCACTTGAACACCCCAAGAGGGCATTTGGAAACAACCTCGGTCTGCAACCTCCATATGAACAACTTACAGCAGACACAGGGGAAGCATCACTTCTCTGTGGGGACCAGTGACAAGACTCAAGGGAATGGCTGGAGCTGTGTCAGGGCAGGCTCAGGTTGGATCTCAGCAAAAGGTTCTTCCCCCAGAGGCTGGTTGGGCACTGCCCAGGCTCCCCAGGGCAGTGGGCACAGCCCCAAGGCTGCCAGAGCTCCAGGAGGGTTTGGATGATCCTCTGGGGCACAGGGGGTGACTCTTGGGGATGGTCCTGTGCAGGGCCAGGGGTTGGACTGGATGATCCTTGTGGGTCCCTTCCAGCTCAACATATCCTGGGATTCTGTGACTTGTTTGCCTCAGCCAAGAATATCAACCCTTTGTCATGGTGATTGTCACTTGTAAACCCAAATATTTATGGAAAAGTATGCTGGCAGAACAGGAGCTAATTTTTGAAATTCGTATCTATCTTCGATCCCCATCCCAGGAAGTGTCCAAGGCCAGGATGGGCAGGGCTTAGAGCAATCTGGTCTAGAGGAAGGTGTCCCTGCCCATGGCAGGGGGTGGAATGAAGCTTTAAGGTCTCTTCCAACCCAAACCAGTCTGGGATTCCAAGACTTTACTTTTTACCATCTTTAGATAGTGAGTTGAGTCAGAGGCAGACTCTTGGGAGCCTGCCTTTCTTCCAGCACCCAGATGGTGCCCCGGGGCTGGATCAGTTCAAGGTCACCAGCCCTGCACACTGACACTTCTCCCAGTGGCAGTAGCAAGTTTTTGTCCTGGCTTTCAAGGTTCTGAGGCCACATATTTGAATATTTTTTACATTAAATATTTTCTTTAGACGTAACATTTATAGGTGGGTTTAGATCTTTAAAACAGGGACACAACTGAAATTTTAGAAGTAAAACAGCTGAACCCCTCATCTCTTATTCCTTTAAATCCCAATAGATTCACAGGGACTGAAACATTTAGGATCTGGCTTTTTCATCTAAACACAGCCTCAGATGTGCAGGTGCAACTCATTAATGTATTGGATTTGCACCTACTTAGGCCAAGGCTGGAATTTTTTAATCTGTCTTGACTTCACAGACAGTTGGTATGTGTCAGTTATGTCATGCCAGACCCCAGTGGGGAGGATTTTCATCTCCCAGTGACTTCAGAAAGGCGTAATGATGCAAAATTTGATAAAAGTGATTATACCAAACCTTTTCAATGCTGTAAATGGTGGGATCACTCCTTGAGAATCTGAGTCTGGAGTAACTTTGCCTTCATCTCTCCCTAAGGCCTGTTTCAGACTAGGGGGAAGGGAATTGGATGAACTGCAGCCAGTGGAATATTGAATCCATGTTACTCTGCACCCACTCTCCTTCTCCTGCTGTGCAGGAGCCACCAGCAGCATTATCAGCAAGATCCCCCATGTAGCTGAACACAGGCACCACAACCAGGGGCCATTCACCCTGGGCAATAAACACACCATTTCATGACACAATTAACAATTGTACACTGCATTTAGCACTTGACAAAGGGAAGCCAAGCTCTGCCCTTCTATTTATCTGCAACTCCACAAATGTGCTGAGAACAGGGAAAAAAAATGTCCTCTGCTCACATAAGAGAGGAAAAAATCTTAACAGGCTTTTTTTAGAATAGATTTTAGGGAAATGTAGGGGGAAATCCTTCTTTCTAATTTGCCGTGACACATTGCCAGTCTACCAACAAATCAGACCATGAATGAAACCGTTCTCAGCCTCCTGGACATCACACAAATTATATTTGATTTCTCCTAAAGGACTGTTCTTTATTTTAACCCAAAAATGTTGGGGGTTGCCTCACATACCTGCAAATGTCACCATCCATTCCACTCACAGGGATTTCTGTGCACTCCCCATTGTCTATGGCCCACTGTTGTCCAGCTCCACAGCAGCTCTCAATCAACTCCTTCGTGGAACCTGTGTAAAACATACACCCAGAATTTTTTATATGGAATGGATTGGGTTTAGCTCTGTTTCCTTAACTGAGGAGATCTTTAAAATTGCAACAGTTCAGCCTTTTATTTTCCTTTATTTCCACATTTCATTTGGTTAAATGCAAAAAAAGAAACAGGCAACTGATACCTGAAGCATCTTGATATAATTGATCACCTGGTGATGCCTTTCAGGAAGGAACAGCAGAAGGAAATTAGAGTTTTAAATACAATAAAAGACATAACTGGTTTAAAGAAAACTCCACATTTGACATCTCTGAACAAAAAAACCTGTGAAAAATCATGCTTGGTTACCAAGCTGTAACAGTGTCCTCACTATCACAGGCTGGATTAGCTGACAGTGTCCCAGCCCTGCAGGGTTCAGGTGGTTTAAAACCATAATGAAAAGGGTTTGAGGACATAACTCTGCCTCTGCTAATGAGCTCCTGTAAAACACTGGCACCAGCATGCAGTGAAAGAGATGGATGTGCAGAATTGCTGCACTAGTTTTCACATTTTTTCTTGTGGATTTCCAGCTAAGATGTAAATTTGCAGGTTACAGTGAAATATGACTTAATTTGCAATATCCTACATCCCTGCTGGATAGAACAGACTAGGGCACATCACACTGAGCAGGAACAGTGTGTTATGGAGCCTGGACAGCAGTTTGCTTCATGCTCTGGGGTGCAAACACCAGGCACTGCCACAAACCAGCTGAAGAGATGCCAGTGCCAGGATCCTGCTCCATGGGGCACCGTGCTGGGGTATTGGGAACATCCCTCCTGCAACTGCTCCTGCTCTGGGAGCAGTTACACAGGTACCAGGAGAGAAAATGATTCAGAGACACCTTTTAGAGGGACATGAGGTGCATTACAAGTGCTTGGGGGCTGTGATTTTGATCTACATGTCAATGCACACAATAAAGATGATCTATCAGGCTCTCCAGAGTCCATGGCCCTGTGCTGAGCTGGAACAGCACCTGCTCTCTCCCTTGGCCCATCAGAAGTGCTCCAGTTCCTCTTAAAGCCATTTACATGGATATAAGGAACATTTTGTGCTTTTTAATCATATTTCCAGGCCAGTCTCTGGCATGGTTTGGTGTTACCAATGAGAAGGAAGAAAAGAAAACCAGCCCCAAGTTGATGGAAATGTGTGGGTGCAATGGACCTTGGGTAGCCCCAGAGCTGAGCTCTCCTTGCCCAACGCCCAGCACTCCACACTGCAGAACTATGTCTTTTCAAGAATCCATAGCCAGTTTTTACATCCATCACTTCTGATCGATCTAAATCACTTCTGCTTGCAGCAGGAGGGTGGAACCAGTTTCTCTGCAAGGATTTTAGGAAAAATGCCATTGCTGCAAACGGCCCTGCTGAAGGTGCGACGCTCTCCTGACAAGACTTGGCAACAAAACTTAACAACTGGGAGCCAAGCTCTGCTGGTCTGGCCTTGCACAGTTTTGATCTGTCAGGGAACTGCATTCAGGTTGGCAGGAGGACTGTGCAGTCATCCCATGTGAACCCAGCCCCAAACCCTCTCCTCCTGTGTGTTAACAGCAGCATTACAGGGCAGCTCCTCCAACACATACGGTTTGATGAAAAAGTTCATTGAATCCTTACTTTTGTCTGCATTTGGTACATGGTACCAAGTCAATATTTCCTTGCAAAATTGTAACACTTAACTATAAGTGAGGCATTTTTAGAAATGGCTGTATCTCAAAACAGCTGGGCATCCACACTGCACCATTCAGAAAAACACAGACAACCGAAGTTGCCAAACATTTCTGTTGCCACAGAACAGCAGAGTGGAGAAGGCTGGAAGGGAACACAGTGGGCCACGCACTTAAAACAGTTATTCTGTGTTTCAAACAACAGTGGGAGCACTTTTTATAGTGTGTTGTAAAACTAAGCAGTCATTAGATAGCAAGAGTAAGAAGTTTAAGTGGAGTGCTGTCTGCAGTGTTAAAAAATATTGGCGCTTACACAAATGGTTTGGATTGGAAGGAACGCTAAATCTCCTCTCCTTCCACCCCCCTGCCATGGGAAGGAACACATTACACTAGACCAGGTTGCTCCAAGCTCTCCCCCACCCTAAATAATACAAACCTCCCCAGCAGAAGGCTATTCCTTTGCACTTTCAACTGTTAATTTAGGAGAAAATATTAGATTTTGGAAACCAAAAAGGTCTCCCCAGTGTGGCTTGCTTTACAAAAAGCAACTAGGAAAAAGAAAGCCATACAAAATACAACGTTTATGATCGTCAAATGCTCACGAGAAAACAACTTTAAGGAACTGTATCTAAGAGAAAACAGTCTGTGTAAAATTCCTTCCCCATCAGTGACTGGGATGGATGGGTGAGGGGAGGAGGTTACACAGTGACAAGACACAGCTGCAAGCACCAGTGCCCAAACCAGTGGCACCCGTGGCCTGGAGCATCAGCCCCTGCACCCCCTTCACCCTCTGTGCCCCCCTCAGCCCTCGCCCATCTCTGGGTTTCGTTGGTGCATCAATAAACAGGAACCCCAAAAACACAGTCACAGTTTGATACTTGTCACTAAGAAGGAGAGTTGGGCTTCCAGGACAAAAATCAACCTTTTTGTGCCCACAAAATCCAGCTGTGTCACTGCCCGGGGTTCCAAAGAGCAGGGGAGGGGTGTTACTGCCAGGGAATGCTGTGGGAAAATCCCAGCTCTGCCAGGGCACACAGAGCTTCATCTCCACCCTGAGTCCTCACTCACATGCTGAAAACAATTAGGAGCAAGGGGGCAGGAGGGTGCACTTCACCCTATTGTGAATTTTATTTGTTCTCTTTGGGGAGAAACAACCCAACCCCGATTTGAAGCCACTTTGCTCTCCCCCCGTGTGGCCCAGCTGAGGGGGTTTGGTGACCAAAGCCATTCCTGTCCCCCTACACTGCCCCAGTCACCTCACAGCCCAGGGCACCAGAACAAACTGCAGCCAGCCTGCAATCCATGCAATGCCTTCACTTCACACAGCACATTAACAATGGCAAATATTCCTGAGCCCTGAGAGCTGTCTCAGGGGTCAGAGCTGCTCTGTGACACGAGAGCATTGATCTGATCAGTTAAACTGGCAGGAAATACACCCAGCGCCAGGTAACTACAAAACATTGCTATAAAATACTTCTTTAACATCGTTTTAATTCACTCCCTTGATGGAAACTCCACTCATTTAACCAAGCACTGAAATACATTTGTTGCTCTTGCTAGAACACAAGAATAGAGCAGAATTTACTTATCTATATTGCAGTAATCTACATGATTTATAATGCAAATAAAAGTGAGTTACTCATTCCTCACTAAAGATTCAATATCAGATTGCTCTCCTGAAGAGTCACACTATTAAACAGTCATATTTGCAAAACATATTCCCTTTTGTTGTGATCTTATGAATAATTAAATCCTGAATGAAGCTATAATAAAATGATCAAATATTGCATTTTATCTCAACCAGGAATTTAAAAAAAACACCTAAAATAACTTATAATAGGGCTCACAGTCATCACAGTCATTAGCCTGGATTCGTAATATTTTAATTCTCCATTAGCAAAACTAAATATATACAACTGGATACATGCACAGGACTGAAGATCACAGAGCTTCTACTCTGGATGGAGACTTTCAGCTCTATGTATAACAGACTTTGAAATACTTAAACATTCAAACAGAGCTTTGTTTATTCGGGGCTTCCATTATATTAAGCAGATTTAGAAGCAGATTTGCATCTGCTTAGGGAAAACAAAGTAATTTTATTTGAGAACTCCATAATCCTGATTTTTTTAACACTGTATGACTCTGATACTTCATAGAGTAATTTCATGAGACACCTGTTAATAGATAATTTGCTATTTATAGATTTCTTGACTAGGGAAAAAAAGCCTAATTTCTGTCAGGCTGTATCACAGAACAGCAGCACTTCTTGCAATTCAGGAACTCATTCCTGCAATTATCACTTTGAAGATATGAACTGAAGAACATTCTGGCCTAATCTCCAAAATTGGTGTATTCTCTTTTTTTAAAAACATTGAGAAATTAATTCAAATATTTAGAAAAACCTTTTCCTATCAAAGAATTTTAACTCCTCCCTGTCTGTGCTTTAAAGTTGTCTCTATGACTGATCCAATCCATTGCCTCCCACCCACTCAGGGACACATCCAGGTTTTCCATAGTCCTATGACAGACATCCTAAATCTTCGTTAGCGAAGCCTAGCCATGATGATGATGACAGACATGCTGCTAAGCAGGAATTTCAGCCTTCAGCTAGAAAAATCTGCTATGGGTTTAAAAATGTGTGTATTTTATAAAGCATAGGCTAAGCTCAAACATCACACTGAAGAAAACACACAATTAAAGGCTACTTAATTGTTTCCTCCCACTGACATAGTGACCCATAGGTTTGTTAGAGCAACAAAGGAGACAAAAGGGATTTTCAAAAACCTTCCTCCCCTTTTCCCTCACAGTGTTCACAAATTATGTTTCAAGAGTGATAAAACATCAACTCTAGAAGGTCAAGAAGGGATAGCATATCTCAGTTTCTTGCCAGAGCTTTTTTCACACTGAACTTTCCCTGACTTGAGCTTCACCTGAGTATTCCACTCGGACCGTTTCAGTGTTGGACACCTCCAATTTCGTTGCTTCCTCCCATCCTCCCCTCGGGTTTGCAGCTCTGCAGAACATTTGCATGGACTGAATAACTCCCACTGCGCAGATCCCATTCTCTGAGCACACACACTGACTGGCTGGCTGAGCTGTCAGGCAGCTCTGCCCACCACTCTGGTCCAAGGGTTTCTTTTGTCTATGGAGAACAGACAGACCTTAAAACTTGAGCACTTCCCTGTGAGGGTGGAGAGGCCCTGGCACAGGTTGCCCAGAGAAGCTGTGGCTGCCCCAGCCCTGGAAGTGTCCAAGGCCAGGCTGGACAGGGCTTGGAGCAACCTGGGCTAGTGGAAGGTGTCCCTGCCCATGGAACT